CACCACATAGCGCATAGCGTTGGGTTTGAAATGAACCGTGCCATGCACTTATATGTCACACAGTTTGTTGCCATGGATCGACCAATCAGAATTGAGAATTCAAGTTTGCTTGAAGATAAGTACAGGGATGTCGTGTGCAGGGTTGCAGTTTAGATGAAGTTATAACTCTACTGTTCCACTGGTCTCTCCAAACAAGGTAAACCATAACTGATCAATGCAAACCACTTCTCTCCACCTGACAGGTGCAGAAATTACTGAACCAGTACTAAATGTGGCCACTGCTCAGACAAAAATATAAGCTTTTCAAATGCACATGTATGTGCATGTGTGCCGTCAAACTAGAAGAAAATTTTGCAATCGACAGAGCAGGAACGCTCACCGAAGTACTAATTTCAAACCGGACAACTTCTTTTCAAGCACGGTTTTCACAAAAAGAGGATTTATCCAGGTGTTGTATAAAAAAGGCTTCACTTTCCAGCGGCGATAAGAATAATTTCATCCTGTGGCAGATTCAATGTTCCACTCCTTGAGAGGAAGCCCTGTGGAAGGCCGACTCTGTCACCGAATGAAATAATTCCCACCAGCACCGCTGGACTTGTACTCATATTAGCATTCAATATTTGTATAACATTGGCAAGGCATTTGCATGTGGTCAGAATATATTTCTTTGCACAAATTACGTAGCATACAGATTTGTTACACATATTTTACCCTTTGCTCTGTGAGTTACAGTTTCCTATGCCGAGGCCTGAGATGCGAGCAAACGAAGCAACCATTCCAAACTTAGTGAAAGATCATGGTTAACCACTTGGACCAAGAATGAGTGCGTGTCAAACGTACACGTAGTGTACGCAAAGAGGGCTTGTGGAAGGAGAAAGGACCGCAACACTGTGGATTAACCCCTGCCCTCCAGGGTGTCTTGGTCAGGACCCCTACCAGATGCATCCTTTTGCAACATTTGTCAACGTGGCATACCCCGCCCACTGCAACAAGATCTAATAGATCGACTTTCCTCCCCCCCCCTGGCCCCAAAAGCCAGGGAATGCCCGCATGTACTGTATGTCCGCTTACATGTATGTGGCAGCCAGCCATTAGTGGCACTCTGCATTGGCACTCGCCCATCTGACTGCATGTGATTGCCCAGTGAAACAAAGTCGACCGGGCTTTTTTGACAGTCGAAACTTGCTGGATCTGGTAAGGTTAGAGTTCGTGGTCCTGACCCTACAACTTTCAAGGTATTCTTGGCTGGTACCCTCCAACTGCACAGCACAGTGAACCGATGACACATTCTTGCCAGAAGCACCTACACGTACCCTCCTCAATCCTAAAAATTCCTCCAGTATCTGGCAGTGGATTTTCACAGATCTGGGGCGGTTAACAGGATCAGCCCCACCCAGGGCAGTTCTTCTCCAACTGCCCTGAGAGCAAAAAAATTCAAAGCAGCTAGAATCATAACCCTGGCACAACATTGGACAAAATGCAACCATGCAAAGCTGGATTTCACGGCATGAAAAGCACTGTGTTGAAAAGGCACCAGTCTTGACACTGTGCAGTTAGAGTCATCACTGGTGCAGAGTGACTGCTACATGCTAAATCCAACTGTGTACAACTTTAGACCACTGCTATGTTGTGTCGCATCTGATAGGGTCGGGGTTGAACACAAACATGAATTATGTGGTCTAAAGGTAATTGAAAACATAATCGGCAGCCAAAAGTGACGTGTTTCATATTTGGCAATTTTCATCTACTAAGTCACGAACCCCCCAATGATCCAAGTACCCATTTTCTCCTCAACTCGGCTTTGAATTTTCATAACTCCTGATAAAAAAGTACAAAGTAAAAATAACAAAAAAATCCAAATTTCAGTCAAGCAAAGTTAAAGTGGCCAACCACTGTACATATGTACATAAAACATTCACAGACAATGCTTTCTAACATCGTAGTGCAACATTTTTCTCACGGCGACATGTACAGTGTACAACAGTTAACATCTCGGCTATTAACCCTAACACTCCTCAGTCCTCCAACAGGTGAAGGATTGAGGAGTGTTAGGGTTTAGAGACATGATGGAATAATGCATACCCTCTCTGTTTACCATTTATGTGATGGATAAAGACATTTAACTGAAAAAGAAAGACAGCATTTTGTGCACAAATATCTGAGCACTTTGGAACCCACTGGAATGGACAAAGTATTCGCATCGTGTACCAACATCACATCTGAGAAACTTCGCCTTGCATTGCTTGTTTTGTACAAGTCACTCCGACTCAGAGTCTGGTGCCAATGACATAATGTTATAAATCCATAGATAATACACTGCAGTTTCCAGGGTGCCTGACCAAGATGGCCACATGGTAAGGTCTAACGTACCTACTTCCCTTGCAGCAATTCGTCTAACCTCTCCTTGAGAGGCTCACATATTTTCCGATAGCCCTTGTCGGTCAAGTGTAGATAGTCGTACATGTCGCTGTGACATATCGTGCCGTCTTCGATCACAAAGTCGCCATTGGCGTCAAAATACTCAGCTTTGGGGAACTTTGGAGGTTGCTCGCCGAGTAGTCGTGCTAGGGAGTTGTTGATGGATTTGATTTTGTCGCGTAGCTTGTTTGGGTACTGGCCCCGGGGTGGAATAGCCTGCAAAGGAGACATACAAAGGGGTAGAGAAATCATACAAAGTGATACACTGCCTACTTATAAATGACATCACCAGCCAGTCATTTCAAAAGTCCATCGCACGTTGTCTACATGTAGTCTTGATTCAAGCCACAACTTTCTTGAACTTTTATTGGTCAGGGCCACAATCTCCTCTAAACCAGAGACAAACACAAATCAAAAACTGAACTTGAATATGTACAAAGTTTTGTTCTTTGCTGCTTCCATGAAACACAAACCCTGACTGCATCTAAAGCTACCAAACACTACCACTAGTGTTGCTTTGAGTTGAAGTAACCCACCAACGGCAAAGAGGAGACAGGTTGGTGGGAATCATTTCATCTAGAAGCCCGGCGCATACACAAAGACTACACCTTCCACCAGAAACTGGTCGCAAGTGGTCAGAGCCGTTTACACCAAGCACGCATCAACATGCATGTCCATGCTGCGAGATCCCACCAGATGTGTACAAAGCTTGAAATGTGACTCAGTTTACAGAAGAGAGTGACCACAGTCGTACATAATGTACGGCATCCGGAGTACTTCAGTGGTTTGGGGAAGCAGCAAGATGTTCTGACCACTTGTACTTACCATGACAATTAGCTGAGCGGCTGGGATCTTGGTAGTGATGTACTTGATGATTGCTTCAATACCTTCGAATGTCTCATCTGCAGTATGGCCATGGTTGTTGGTACCCACTTGTAAAACGATCACCTGTTGATGGCAGAGGAAAAAACCATAGTCTAGCCTGGACGATCCACACACAAGACTAGGAGAATGAAAGTGTAATGGAGTATTTTTTGAACTAGTATGTTTCAAACACTAGTGGCGGAAGTCAGGGAGGGGGGGCGGGTGGCCAGTGGCCCCCCTCCCTCACTTTGTTGACCGGGGAGGGGCCTGGGTCCTTCTTGTTGCAGGTCCTATAATGGGGTGGGGCTTGATGGATCTGCCTATTACTGGCTGATGCCTGATGGTCTAATGACTGCCCCCCCCCCACACTTTGAAGATCGTTCCGCTGTGAGTCATGTCAGTGGTTTCAAACCAGATAGGGGTCTGGGATGATTTAAAAGAAAAGAGGTCAACTAAAAAAAATAAAATGGATAGAGGTGGCAAAAAAATTGTTTTAACATGGCTTTGCACAAATGATTTCTTTTAAAGATGTAGATACTTAACCATACTACATGTATATTTTTGAGCTTACATTTTTTTTTAAATTTTGCAAACTGTGTAAATTCTCTGTGTTTTAATCCTGCAAAATAAATAAATGAAATGAAATAACCAGCATGTTTCAACCTGCAAAGTGTCCCTCAAATGGGCTCTGCATGAATACTGTGGACATAGCTGGAAAGTACATGTCCACATATGCCTATGGATGCTACTATCTAGAACCAACAATTGTTTACCATGGATGGACGCTCATCTACAAAGTTACATAATAACATTGTACTTGTATCTCATAAAAACTGATTCATACGCGGCCTTGTCACTGTGTAGCAACAAGTACAGAACATCTCTTCTGCGCTTAATGGCAACGGGCTGATGTGCGGCCCAAGTCCAGCTGCCACGCTTTGATCGACAAGAGAGCGGAACACACCTTGGGCTCGATGAAGTCAAGCGCTCCATTCTGTAAGCGCCATAGCACATGCTGCGTCTGGTCTGCACCGATGCCAAAGTTAAGAGAGTGTAGGGGCTCAAAAAGGTCTGTCCATACCTGACAGAAAAAATGCAGTAATGTTCAAATTCTTGGCAAAACAAGCATCTTGACAAGTGATTTGATTTTGGATGTTCAATTACCAGCACCAAATCAATGATAAAAAACTCTAGAACAAGCCAGAGTTGAAACACCTGCCACACACGTACACGTACATGTGCCTGCATACTGGATAGATATCAAACTTCTATTTATAAGAAACATTTCAGGGTGTTTGAAATGGAGTTCAGTTGTAGATCTATATATATCTTTCCATAGTGTCCAATAGCGTGTCTTGTTTTTGGCAAGCATGCTTGAACAACAAAAGGTGGGGGTGAGTTGTCCGAGTTGGCAAAGCTGGTCATACAGGTATGTCTACAACGTTCTGTGATGAAGTTAAGTCCCCACAAACTAGTCCAAGAGCACTCCACTGGCACAGTTCTTCAATGATCACCGCTAGGGGTGGAAGCGGGTGGGGGGGGGAAACACCGGCCCCTCACTTTTTTGACTGAGGTGGCATGGCCCCCACCAGTGCCGATCAATAGACTGGCCTATTGATGGTTGACACCTGATGGTCTCACAACTGGCCCCCGAACTTTGAAACTTGTTCCATCACCGGCGCTTGTCACTGACTTGTGACAGGCTCAACTACTTGTAAAGTGACACATCCATCGGTGGGAATACCAAATTGGGAAAGTTGGCTCCATCAAAGCCCAGTTGGCAGGTCTTTTCTAAATTGGCAAACTGGCAGAGCAACGTTGGCACCACAACGATTAGAGCACGACTCGACATGGTCTGGTAGATCATTTTTACCTGAAACTGTGCCATGAGTTGGATCAAGGAGTCCCCTACAAACAGGATTTCCGGCTCCTTTTCCTTGGCATCAGCGACGTAGCGCTCATGCTGTTATGAAGATATGAGACAAAGGTGAGACAACTTGTAAAAAAACATACACAGACAAGGCTCAAGCATGGTTCTGTCAGCAGACGGAAAATACCTACACTGTTCATTCATGCACAGCTTTCCAAGCAGTTTTCCAACTCAAGCTTTCTTCGCAAGTCTGAAAGCAATGTGAAAATCCATCTTTCTATGCAGCTGCGTGAATATTATGCAGTTAAACAGTACAGTACATGTACATGTAAAATACTGCGTGATCTACCGGCAACAATAACTTGTTATTTGCACAGTTATTGATTTTTGAGTTACATACATCAGTGCTGTACACTGTAGTGAGTCCTGCACTCCGTGTCTGAACTTTACCAGTTTAAGTCTGAGTCCAAGTCTAAAACATGCGAGTCAGGAAATCCAAATCTGAATCCCAGTCCCCCAATAACCAATGATGTTCTAAATGCGTTCAAAAACAGGCACAAATAATGCATTGACAATTGTTATCCACTGGGTACATTGAACAAGTACAAATAAGAAAGAGGATGGTCCCATTACTGATATATGATCAGTCTTGAGTATTACGATATTTGGATGGCCTGGTGCGTCACAAATCTTGCACAATCTGACCAATCACAAGGCTTCCTCTAGCAGCAGGCAACAGATTGTATGGTAGACCCACAAACAGGGCCCGACGTATATCCCTCTGTCATATACTGGGCCCTGTCCCGATTCATAAGATTTCTTTCGCAAAATTTTATACGGGATATCCGGGGCATAACTAAACATCCGCTTGATTTTTATGAGAGTATTGCACTGGTATGTTCACTACTTACGGGGTAAACTTTCGACTAGGTTGCTAATTGTAGAAAACTATCCTTTTTCTTGTTTGGTAGAAAAATGTTGCCTATTTCTGCCGTTTTCCCACTCCAGACGAATTTTGGCCCAATTTGTACATTACACAAACTCCTTTGTATGGTTAAATAATGGTAGCCTGCACGAGCACCTGTCTAGTTTGCACCCAGACTTCAGCTCTTACAAATTTTGTTCAGATCTGCTGGAGTACCTGTTGATCTAAGTTGTTGTAGAAAATTACGGCTGTTTTGTGTCACAGCTCCGTGTAATGAACAATGCCCTTGGCTGGTTCCCTGTCCAGTCACACACCGCTTGCGGCAAATCATTAGAGTGCAGCAGTGACGGGTTGGATTTTACAGCAATGGACAGAAAGCTAGACTGTGTTGAAGTTTATAAAATCTCCTAATTTAATCACACGGTTTTTTGGGGAGGGTGAGGAGATGCTCTCTTAAAACCCTCAGCCTCAAGTAGGCCTACATCAAGCAGCTGGAAACTCAAATTCATGTGTACTACGTAGTTGTGTGGAGTCCTCTGTAATCATAAGTGCCTCCCAATATTCCTGTCAATATTTTTTACCAGTGAAGAAATCATATTGCTGAACAGTTTTATCAGTGGGCTTCATTGGCTTGGGAGGTTGACATTTATGGTCATGCTGGGTTTCTGTCTGGTTATCGGGCGAATTCGTGATGGATCCCCAACAATGTGCAATTTTCAAAATACTCAATAATCTCAAAATAGGTCATTGTTCATTTTTAAATCCACATTTTTGATGAATTGTGTCAAGTATGAGACACATTGACTTGGATAATGTTGAGACATTTCCCACAGACATTGGTCAACAATAGTTGGGCCAGTCCAACTGCAGCACTACAGTTGGGACTTTTGCTATAGTTGGGGCGTAACATGTATGTACATTACATACCGCTACTGGTAAAGGTAAAAATAAAGAAATAAACGACCCAATTCTTACCATATTTATCCATCGTTTATCACCTTGCACATCTTCACACGCCGTGGGCACGGCTGCTGTGTTTGTCTCAGAACTCATGACTGTTTCTCCTTAATTAAAATACTTCGACAAAGTGCCAAAATACCAAATAATCTGGACAAACCAAGCGCGGACGCGTGCACTTTTCCACGTATTTCCCGCAACCTGTAAATTGGCCGACCCGGTACGACCCAACCGGAAGCACTCCTAGATGACGTCACGAACTCAGCAAAGCCATGCATAAATATCAAAACGCGAACTACTGATAAATTTCGCTGCTCGGGCTGTCGGTGCTTCATATCAAGCTTAAAGTTAGTTGATTACAGTCGGCAGACATTGGCAGGTACGTCTAGGTCGACTCAAATCATTAGGTTTGTTGGTTTGATCATGGAAGGCCTACGCCTTAAATGACATAAACAAAGTGTACAGTGATCAGGCTGATTTTTGAAACGGAACTTCTCACTGCATGTTCCGCACTTGCACAACTGGCACATGTGCCATGTGGGTGTACATGTACAGACTGAGTGAAACCTCGTCTGTGCGGACAAGCATGGTGAGAAGCGATGGTGATAACCATGGAGAATGAGGAAGGAAGTTGGGAAAGTCATGAGAAAAATTAAAAAGAACATTGGCAGGCAAACAACAGGGGCCATGTAATTATGAAACACTGGCCTACTGAACATGAAAAAAGGGACCGCAGTCATGACTAATGACAGTTTCGAGTTAGGCGCTAGGCCTAGGGTAGTTTTTTGTGTACTACTGGCAGACTGGGAATATCAGACATGTCAGATGAATTGAGGGCTGCATGGCTGGGGTTGAAGAAGAATGATGGCAGGCCTTGGCATGGTCATGGTAGGGGACAGGGAAGGGTGAATGCAGGGAGACCAGTACTAGGGACATGGCTCCCTCCAAATCCCTCTGTGTTTTTTCCCATTTTCTAGCCAATGAGGGAAAGGCAAATCAAGGGACACATTCTTTTCTGTTCCTTCCAAATACAATTAAAAGCTCTGAATTGTTTATCTCTACAGCCTTCAAAAGTGCACCTTATATTGTATGTAGGCCTAGTCTAAGTTACATGTCTCGTTAACCCCATTTTCAATTTCACTATTTTAAAGTGTTTATACTGATTTTCTCTTCTTTTGTGTTTTTGTTGTGTACAGGAGCAAGCAACCATCCTTTTCACAGAAATAATTTCAGTAAGTAAATATTCTTGGTTTACAGTTGGAGCAGAAAAGCCGATACATACACTGAACAATATGTCCTCCCTGGATGACATCACAGCAGCAGCCCCCTCAGCTTTCAGGAAAGCATGGATGATTTAAATAAAAAGTGCGCTCTGGATTTGAAATTATTTTATATACTGAAGAAGAGAATAAAGTTGCAGAAAAATTGTGTCTGAACAGACTGTCCATTTTGTGTCCAGGATTTGCCAGAGACAATACACACTCACTGAAATTACATGTACATGCTGCTACATGTAGATATTCCGTACTATAACTTATGGCTAGCGTGAGTGAAGTTTCCAAGGGTCTTGATAGTACTGTATGTATGTAATTTACATTCTTACAAGGAGACCTGGAAAGGAGAATGTCTGAAATGTCGTTAGTGAAATCTAATTTTTTTCTAATTTTTTACTCATCCTTGTCATCGCCAAGTGACTGTCCAACGTTATTACTTGAAGAAAACAAAGATGAAATTCTGACATGAGTGTTTCTCCGGATGGTTTCAGTTAAAAACCATTTTTCAGAGAACATGAAAGGGCAGCCTGATGTGAGGTCCTCATTGGTAGGCCCTGCGAGGGTTTCAGAAGCTCGCCATGCGACCTTTTCCTTTCAGGCTTTATTGAAGTCTGTGTATGACATGGCACTTAATGGAATAACTAACAGTGTGTGAAAATGCTCCTGAATACATTTTCTGAACGTTTGCATCAGGAACTGCTACATCATGGCACAGCCCCCAGACTACTCCAAGCCCCCGCCCTACAACCCACAGTACCCCCCAGCGCAGGGATATCCACCACAGCAAGGTTATCCGCCCCAGCAAGGGTATCAGTCGCAGCCCGGTTACCCAGCACCGCCTCCCCAGGGCCAACTGCAGGCAGGTTACACTCCACAAAAAACAGTGAGTGCCAAGCAGTTTAAGGCTACGTCAGGACCCTGGAAATACTGGCTGTGGCTGACAGTAATGCATGCATCTGTGTGCAACAGCCTTAGCCGCAAGCCCATGCTGATGGTGTTCGTAGGGACGTGTTACTTTCAGCCGTTGCCAAGATTTATGGACTGGTACTGGCAGCAGAATGGGGGGAGGGCAGGGGACCAGAGCCCCTCTCCCATTCTCAATTGGGAGGGGGGGCGTTACTTCCCCTCTTTTGGCAGGTTTTATAATGGGGCAAGGTGATCTCAAAGACTAGTGATCCTGTTGCGCCCCAACCATATCATCAGTCCCAACTAAAGTGTTATATTTGGGCCGTCGCAACTACAGCACAGAGGTCCAGTGTGCATGTGCCCAGCATGTGCCAAAGATGAAGATCCCTAATTTAGATGAATTGTGTCAAGTGTGAGATGCAAAAACGTGGATAAGGTTGAGAAATTTTCTATAGAAATTGGTCAACAGTAGTTGGGCCAGCCCAACTGCAGCATCACAGTTGGGACTTTCCCAACTACACGTGTAGATGGGACAAACGCTATAGTTGGGGTGTAACAATCCTTCTTTATAAGTTAAAAAATACCACAACAGTGTCCGTTCAGTGGCCCGTCCCAGGAAAAGCGGTACATTGACGATCCTTAAAAGGGATCACGGTGTTAATAGAGACATAGAGAACATGTGAATGCGATTACTTCTTCAAATGGCATTCCGTTCTTGCCCCAGTCTCTGTTTGTCAATGTTGAAGGTGTTTATAAATGTACATGTGTACAATAGCCCAGTTGGTGCTTACATAAATGTATTTAGCATGGTTTTTCACAATTTTGTCTCAATATGACACTTGCGTATGTCTACTTGTATCTGTACTACAAAAGGAATGATTAGTGACTCAAGACTTCTCACCTACATGTAGATCCCTCCCCCAAAAAAAGATTATTACCAACAGAGTTTTCTCGTGCAAATTCTACAATCTCCTTACTATCCATGTACATGCACCGTACATGGAGAAGAATTTGTCGAAAGGAATCCTGCCAAGAAGAATTTGTCAAGAGATGCTAGTATCTGCCGTGCAGAATGTCGTGAGCATCCCTTAAAAAAGTAGTGGCCAATTTCATAGAGCTGCTTAAGCACAGAATTTGCTTAAGCATGAAAAAATGATGCTCGACAAATCAGGTTACCAGCCAAAAGTGTATATTGTTTTGGAATGGTATTCACCTGTCTTTTGGTTAGCCTGACAATTACATAGATTTTGAGCTGGTAACCTTGGTTCTTTAAGCAAGATTTTTTTGTGCTTTAAGCAGATTTTGTGCTTAAGCAGCTCTATGAAATTGGCCCATCATATTCTCACTGAGAAGACCGGTCCAAGATTCTAGATTATTAAATGCTTATAAATTCTGTAAACTCACAATCTACATGCATGTACATGTATATGTACCATCAAATATTTCATTTAAAGGGGAGGGGTGTCATGGAGATGCTTTTGTATTTGGTGGTTTGTGCTTCACCCAACGTATTTTATATTTTTGTGGAGACTGCAACTGTGCACTGTGGTGTGTTGCTAACGGATTTCACAGTAGCCTCGATACGGAGGGCGGCATAATCCTGGCTTTGTAGTGCGGGTTGAAGAAAGAAAATCCCCCCATCCTTATGGAGGTACAGCCATGCCATCCATGCTTACTACTTCTGTGAAATTCATCCATGATTACAACTTTATTTTCTTTCCTTTCACTTTGGACAGACTGTGGTAGTGCAATCCTCGAGTTCAAGCCAGTTTGGAGTGAGTATCCAAAACGCCCACTTCTTAGTTTTTTCTCCAATTCATCCCACTTGCACATACGACTGACCTCAGTAACTGAACTTGAATCATTCGATGATGGCTCACACTAAAAGACAGGTTCTTAAATATAAAGAAAAGGTAATGTTCAATGCAGATGAAACAAGAAAATCATTGATGTTTCTGAGAAAGCCCTTGGCATCAGGGCATGATGCTGAAAAGCAAATCCACATGTAAGCGTGTGTGGGATTCGAACCCAGGCCACAGATTTGAAAGGCAAGGACAGGCTATCCGTGTGCCAGTGCTTGCTTCAACCATGATTACACACAATTACACCTTTTGTGTTTCAGTTTCAAACTTCATTTGCAATTTTTGTTTTGTTATTTTAACTTTTTTGGTTTCTGTTCCAATGCCAATTTTCACATGAGCACAACTGCGATGTCAATGGGTGGCCCATGAGTTTTGCAAAATGGAGGTTGCGATAGGAAATCACCATACAAATACTGTAAAATGACTCTCCGAATTAATATGCGTGTTGTTTGAATTCACTGTAAAACTTTGTCTGATAGATCTTTTTTTTTTTGAAACAAAATCACCTTTTCCCAGCGAAATTGATCCCAAAGCTACATGCAGGTTGAGTTAGTATTGTGAAGAAATCCTGGCGTACGTGAAGCTGCTAAGTTAAAGTACCGAAGCACCGGTTTAGTTTTGGTATGAATTACTTTTTCCATTTTCTTTTGTTTTCATCCTTTGTCGTGATTTCAGAGATCTCTAGGAGGGCTCTTCAAGTCGGCAGAGAAGGCCGTGGGAAGAGCTGCAAATACTGTACAACACGAAGTGGACCGCTACGCAAACTCTCCAACAATTGTGAGTGAAAGGAACAATTATAGGAGGTTTATTATACGCCTCTTGATCATTCTTTATTCTGGTTGGCTGAAACATGGTCACATGGGATTCACTAGCATGAAACTTACATCAGCTGAACTACATGTACATGACCAGTCATGTATGTTACGTACATGTATAATTTTTGACTGATTGCGGTGCCCTCTAGAGATTACCGATGCTCATCATTAAACAAAAACTGAACCATTTCCAGTGTTTTATTCGAGTCCATCACGAGTCCCTGTAAGTCCCTGTAAGTCCGTCACAAATTCACGAGTCATTCAGTCTTGAGCCAATTCACAAGCTATTCAAATGAGCTGTGACATTTGTCATTGTTCACCTTGTTTCTTATGACTGGCCTTGCGACTGGACTTGTGAAAGGACTTGTGACGGACTCTACTCTAACACTGACAATTTTCTTTCTTACTCGCATATTTTGGGAAAGTGGTGGGTTATCAAACGCATATAGATTGGCATAAGTCGGTCACTAGTGTCAGTGAGTTACCAGAGGAACAAGGGGCTATTTCTGAGGCCTGGTCACTTGCAGATTCTCGGAGTACATAGTCAATTACACGAGTGACTTCATTGTCAGTCCATATACAAGCTCCTGGTCACTTGCAGATTCTCAGGGTACATAGTCAATTACACGAGTGACCTCATTGTCAGTCCATATACAAGCTCCTGGTCACTTGCAGATTCTCAGGGTACGTAGTCAATTACACGAGTGACCTCATTGTCAGTCCATATATACAAGCTCCTGGTCACTTGCAGATTCTCGGAGTACTTGGTCAATGACACGAGTGACCTCATTGTCAGTCCATATACAAGCTCCTGGTCACTTGCAGATTCTCAAAGTACATAGTCAATTACACGAGTGACCTCATTGTCAGTCTATATACAAGCTCCTGGTCACTTGCAGATTCTCAGGGTACGTAGTCAATTACACGAGTGACTTCATTGTCAGTCCATACACAAGCTCCTGGTCACTTGTAGATTCTCGGAGTATATAGTCAATTACACGAGTGACCTCATTGTCAGTCGATATACAAGCTCTAATTGAACAGCTAAAAAAGCGTCTTGCATGATTCACTAGCAATAGATTCATGTGTAATTTCAAGCCACAGCCGATACGTTTTGGACACCCTAAGCAGCTTTACAGAATGTAGCCCCAGTTAAGATGGCTTGCGGGGAATAGCCAGAAGACCTGACTCGGCTTGAACGAAAACAAAGACTTGTGACGCGACTTGAGCGACTGAGAAAATGATTTGAAGCTTGACTTTAATGAATTTGAATAGACCTTCTGTCCTGATGAGGCCACACTTTGTTTACGTGTGTACTTTCCTTGGGTAATGAGGTGATACACTGTCCATCAATCCCTTGCACGCAGCACGCATGTAAACAAAGCGGGACGTCAAGGCCTGTTGACTTGACTTGGGAAAAATGGACTTGTGATGTGCATGACCTGCCTTGATCTGTGGAAAACATGACGTGGTTGGTTAATTTCACACATTAGTGGTCCAAAAGTGTGACATTTTTGTGTCCCTGTTACATCTGACCTTTGTTATTTGACATGGAAATATCACTGGGATTGATTTCAAACTATTACTATTTGTTTGGCAGATAATTCGCATTAGTTCATCACTCTTTGGAATGAGAAAATGTGTGCTGAATTTACAAAATAATACATCAGATGTGACAGGGACACGGAAAAAAATGGAGTTCTAATTTCTGGAATTACCCCGTTACGAAACAGCTACTCGGCAGTTGGCATCGGTATACCATCCAAAAAAATGGCACGCTAATCTAATATGTAAACAGCACCGTCCAGTTCACACCATAGGCCTCTGTCATGGGCCAACCATCTTGCTTTTCTATCATTCAAACCAATGTAACCGAACTGAGGCTGAGAGAGAAAAATAGTCAGTTCCCTTTGATCATATGAAATTGTATTATTATTGCCAGTTAGTCTACAGGGAACAAGACAAACATGGCATCATTATCATAGTATTTGATTTCTGATTGCTTATTACCCCAGGAGAGGACTTCTTCCTTGTAAAGGACAGTGGAGTAACCAGTCAGTTGTCCAAAAAAAATCAAAGCGATATGCTATAAACTGACTGAAAAGAAAGGTTTGAATGCCCTAACGTACCTGTATTCTGATTCTCAGATGATGTTCAACAGTGGTAACGTGATCCGTCTGCAATCCAAGGAGACGGGTCGCTACCTGCAGGTGTTGAACACCGGAGCTCTCGGTGCCAACGCAGCGCCTGGGGATCCATCAGGTATCTGTTTCATGCAAGAATAGCCCCCTCAATTGGTGACAAATGGAAAGGCTGGAGAGAGACCCGAGTTCCATTGCTGCAACCATGCTCAGTGCCCTTGCATATACATGTACGCTGTACACAAAGATCACTGGTGCACATAATGAGCACGCTTATACAGTACCACCCGGTGGTTGCCTTGTGGGTGAAGCAGTTCCCGTTCTTGTCCACCAGGCATGTGCAATTTTTTTCCTGAGGATACCCAGGCTTTTAGATTCCGTGCACCACTTTGTTTTGTGAGACTTGTTTCTAAGTGCGTTCACACATTATCCGCCCCGAGCTGAAGTGCACCCCCAGTTGGCGAAAGAAAGACAGGTGGTTACAAGCAGGTTCTTGCATGCGTTCTGCGTGTATGCAAAGACCATACATGCCGGAATAAATTAGTTGCACGCACTCAGTGTGCTCTGTGTGAAACGTGCGTATACTTGCGCACCTCATGGCGGGCCTATATGGTAGGTACCCAAAAAACACGCCTGTCTTTCTTTCCGCTCGGAGCGGATTGTTATTTCTAGGCTACTGTTGCAGGCAAGCTGCCGGATTTATGATGCATTTATCACTACATTAGCCCAGGCAAAATGTCCTGGATTGAGGTTTTCTTTTTTTTCCCACTGGTATCCATTTCCATGTCTGATCCACACGTAAAGGTTAACACAAGGGACATAGGCATGATTTCAAACAGGTTACGCAGTGGAGACATAGAATCTTGAACCAAGCGGCACCCAACTGTGAGCGGTAGTAACGCGTGAGATAGTCCGCTCTGTGTATTTCTGCATCACCAAAAGTTTAGTTCCTCTAAATACAAGAACGTATTATTTTCCTGTAAACAAAATGAAATTCTTATGAGAACCATGCACACCTCTATGTTACGAGTTATTCCAGAGTGACTAGTGCTTGTCTCTTCCTTAAAGGGTGACCCCCAAATTATAGTCAAATTATCCAGAGACGTGGGTGTCACCACAACACACGTTTTCATCATGAATTTGTCACTTCCACCATCCTCTCAACATAAACCTGTACTGACTGAACATCTCTTGATATATCTGTCCCATTTCTGTTCTCTTTTCCCCTCTCCTTCCAGCTCACTTCACTGTCTTAAACTGTGGCCATAATATGGTCATCTTACGGAGTGCCATCTATCCCACATGTCACATCGCAAACCACGGTGGCAACATGGTCGGAAATGTACGTACCGATGAGCTGGTTTTCCATTCACAGATTTCAGCTGTGAGAGACATTGATGTATTCAGAGGTTCACCAGGGGGGTGGGGTGGATGTTAGGGGGTGGGAGGGTACCTAATTTTCCATTGAATCTGGTCACTGTGATAACAGACACACTCATCGATATTTCACCGAACCATCTCTGTGATGTCTAAGACGAAATGAATTGGTCATGTACGAATTTGTATGGCAATTTCACCATTGAAAAAAAATTTCACCATGCACAAAAATGAATAAATTTGCATTCAGGAAGAGTCAATAAGAATAAGTTATTCCTAATTTGGAACAGCTTTTTCAACATCTAACTTGTTTATCAGGGCAACGGGGATCATTCTTGCCGGTTCCGTCTCCACGAGACCATGACCGGCTTCGTCACCTTGGAATCTTTCAACCCGGCCAACCACCACATCGGAGTGACGGCGGAGGGCCAGATCAAGCCGGGTCATCTGGTAGGCAAGGACAGCTCGGCCATGTTCAGCCCTTCCATGGTGGTAAGGAACCGTCTCCAAACCTCCCCAGTACAGGTTGCAAGTGTTGTAGTGAAGTATTTTTCGAGTACCAATGTTCTCTGCCAAATATTGAACTGGTTAAGAGGGAATATAGCTGGAGTATGCCGGCCTTTGACGGTACATGCACAAAGATCAGATTACAAAGGAAACGCAAGACTTCAGACTCTCCCAGTTTGGGGATTTCAAGCTATTCATGGTGACAGACAACTGAGGAGGAAAGCTTGCGGTAGCACCGTGCAAGGATACGATCTCTTTTGTGAGTCTGTATGGTTCTGAGTTCCTAACGGTTCTTTTCAGAACCATACAGACTCACAAAAGAGATTGTATCCTTGCATGGTGCTACCGCAAGATTTCCACCTTACCTCCCAGTTTTGTAAAATTCAAGTTTTCAGGAGAAAAGTACTGGAACTTGGAAAGTACTTGGCAAAGTACTTTTTCGAGTATTTTCATCTTTATTAAACAGCGATAATCTGAAGTTATTTTACTTTGCAATCTTAACTTCGTGCATGTACTGTCAAATGCCCATATACTTAAGTACGTGGCATGAAGACGATCGTGTGCTGGAAGGCATCTGAAGTTAAAAGGAAACACTAGTGCTTTGAGAATCTTTAGTTGTAAGTGAGAGTTCAGGTTTATGACTTTTTGGGTGTGGTTTGTTCACAGACAGGGACCCACGTTCAATCTGGGTATGTGCAGCAGATGACCACTACCACAACATACAAAGCCAAGTAGACCGCCCTCTCTTGTTGGATGGCAGACGGGCTCATTGTCTAGCTGAAATTGTGAATGCCAGTTACTGTAGGTAACCTCTGTAGATGTATAAATTCAGAGGCCACATCAAGTTAATATTGAACAATTTATTGACGCTTTGTGACAACCGTATCCGTGTGGTGGTTAAACACTGTTTGTTGTTATTAACTTGATGAATATACATGTATCATGTTCAGCCCATTCTGAATGCGGAATCACCTTCAATGATCTCCGAAAAATATCTCTTACAAGCAAGTGGCAGTTTGTAAGATGTTTCACCACGAAGTCGCACTCAAATCTAATTTGTACTGTGTTGGACGTTATAACCTCTCCAAGGAGGCATCATACAAAAAAGAATTGTTCCATTGTAAAAGGAAATGAAATACCAATTATGTCATGTATTCCAAACAAATGAAGAAAATGTGTTACTGAAAAGTGTAAAACGTTTTGCCGTGGCAAGATGAATCAATGCCCTAGACGCAAGTCAAAATGTTATGAAGAGTTAAACATCATCCAACCTGGGCCAACCAACCCTCATCCATGTTTTAGTGCAAAATGAAAAGCCCAATTACAGTGATAAGTGTAATGAGCGCTGTGTTGGAAAAAAAGATGGAAGCAGGGAAAACTGTTTTGATGTAGAATAGGGACCATAACCTCACATATCTCTGTGTTATCATTTTACACTGTCAAGGCAAAGTGACGTAAAAGAATTTCACTGTTATCTTTTGGAGCACGAACAGAAAATGTCGGAAGTCCTAGAAATACTTGCCATGAGTACTGTGGTCTTAGCCATAGTGTAACGTCAGTGCTTACTAGCTTACCATGAATGAAATACTTGTATTTTTGCTTTTTATGTCTAATGATGTGTAATTGTGTACCCACTATGATCATTTCAATGTAGATACAAAGTACCTATGTATAACATCAAACTAAATATTATGCATTAAATATAAACTCAAAGAGTTTTGTCAGTTGCTAACAAGAATGCAGAAGTTCAAATTTGAAAAGCTTATCTTTGAATGGGGGGGGTTGGGGACCATCTCAGCGCCGCCGGCAGAATTCACTTCAAAAGATCTTGGTTGTCCCATGCCTGATGTCTTTGGAACTCTTGCCTTCATGTCCAGATAGACTTTAGGAGTACAGATAATGCAATTCAATCCGACACAAGGTTTTGCCGTTAGGTCGTGTGCATGCAGTCGTTTTATTGTCCACAGCCTGACCTGATGGCCCTTCATTGAGCACGTCAGTGGGAAAGACATCTTTGAGTCTTCTCGGAAACATGGATCTGAAAGGTGGGTCTGATGTTTATGCATTTAGTGCCAGTTTGATTGTAGACATTACGGGAAAAATGCTTCAGGGCTCGGGATGAATTAAAAAATCAACAATATCAAGAGAAAATGGGTTGGGGGAAGACCACTGCTGGCTCTTTTCAGGTGAAGAGCATCGGATGCTAATAATGCCCGTGAACATTGATTTCGATTGTTCTAAGGAAGGGAATTCCAAGGAAGGGATGTTTTGCCTCTGTAACATAAGCCTTGGTTGGTTGATTTCATTTGCCCAGTATCGTCAAAGTTCAGAAACTGTGCCAGAGGTTGATAAGTTGTAATAGCTTCCTGAAACATCAGTACATTTCTTATTTTTAAAGTGGTTTTGTTGGTTGTACATTATCTGATTTGGTACGTTATCTGCTCGTGACAAATTTATTCTTCAGTGCTTAAAAATTCAGCTGATATATCAGCTGAATTTATCGCATTTTATTTACTAGGTTTTAGCTTTTCTGTCTTTTGAGGCTGATTAATTGCCAAGCAGACATATTTCCTGTGGAGGTACATTATAAATGATCCATGGACAGCAATGTCTTTAAGTAACCTCTGTGTACATGAAGGTACTCGCGTGTGTACTTGCTGGGTAGTTACAAACATTGTGATGGTGAATGGACCAATGAGAGTTACAACTCTCAATCATTAATATGCATGAGCCATGATAAGTTGTCATATACCTGTACATGTATGCCTTCCATGGCCACATTTTGGATGAGTGGGATTTTTTTTGATTGACTGAAAGGCCTCTTCTAATGCATGCCATCACTGCCACATTGCAAAATAAAAGTTCTATTCAACGGTAAACAGAAGTACCATACCATAAACAAAAGGAAACAATTGTGCACTTGTATGTGATGCAGGGATTTATTCAGGTAATGCTCAATCTTTTTGGGAGGTGGAAGGTCGACAGTGGCGTATCCAGTGGGAGGGGGGGACCCTAGACATAATTCTTTTAAGTGAAAGGAGGGGTCAAGGATTCTTTCTATGGTGAATGCATCGAGACAGTCAGCGTTAGAAATAAGCTCCCATTTTACAGTTTGACCAAACTTTGTGGATGTATCGGTCCATGAAATCAAGGAGATTAGTACAACATGCTGGACCACTTTGATAGTGCCCAAACTATGCTTGGACTTTCGAATTCATGCATGATCAGGGAGGTTCCAAAAGAGAGCTGGTTTGTACAGTTTTTATGTACAGATTTAAAAGCTGTCTTACAAGTTTCGTCAGTGATAACTAAAGTGAGAATAATGTACAGTATGTATGAGAAAATCCCACATGGCCAACACAGATACAACGTTTAAAATCACCATAAAGTTTCAGGTGTTTTAAATGAATATTGGCCGATTGTGAAGAAGATTCATTGATAATCGTAACTATGCCAGTGCTGTGCAAAATAAAAATAATGTTTGCCATTTTTATCTACATAAAAGCAGTAATAAACCAGTAACAAGGACTAAAAATGTAGACTGAATTTTTCAGTACATGGTGTGAGTTTCGAACTCCTTTGAAACAAAATCTTTCACTGTCTTGAAAATCTCAGAACCACCACTCTAACATCAAAAGATTGATTCCACATGGTGTATCCACAAACCTCTGTCTAGACTCCACCGTGCAAGTTTCAAATCTTACTGACAATCCTATCTTGTAGTGAGAGTGGCTCTTTGGTTTGTTGGGTCTTTTTATTGTACAAACGGCACGGCAAGATGACTGTTCTTTATGCCCCTAGGCAAAAGTGCTTCATGGGCCCCACTCTGCCCTTGTAATTTCACAGCACTGGTCAGCAGTGGAGCTTTGTATACCATGTTGACGCTGAGCTCTGATAATATGACGGATAAAATTAGACGGACACTTTGAGGCCGTTCCGAGATTGAAGTGAGTTGCCGAAAGTTTACAAAACTGTGAATGCTTTTTGGTTTAAGATTTGTGCAATTGTACAAGCAAGCCTTCAACTTGGCTACAGGCCCCTTTATTTCTCATGGGCCCTGGGCACGGTGCATACTGTGTCTATTGGATAATCCAGCCCTGGATTTCACTCTCATGCAAAGGTGTCCCAGTCCTTGTGACTGGCCGATTCACAACGCTTGAAGAGAATCCATTTGATTTTCCACGTCCACCGGGGATGCTGCCACCAGTTCACTTCTTAATTGGAACTATGTTGCACCTGTGATCGAGAAGGACAAAATAGGAAATGTGCAAGGAACAGGTGTATGGTATGTAAAGCAAAAAGGGCATCTGGTTGGTGCAAACAATAGAGGAGCACTCCTAAAATTAGCTGCACAGAGGACATTTAGTAGAGCGCATACCACTGCCAAGATGTAACTACAGTACAGGTTGCTATTCGCATAGCACACTGCAGTGCATGCTACGTGTGCCCACTTTTACGAATGACAAAAGAACCCCAAAACAATCAATCTTGATTTCAAATATCTGTCATCTTATCTATCTTTCCACCACATTTTGAATCAATCATCAGACCGATGCTTACAGATATTTCCGAAAGAAAATTGCATTTAGTAATGTCATCATGATGTCACATCATCAGAATCTTATAAAGTTGTGGCTCACTATTCAATTTCAAGAAAAATTCATCCTTGATTTCTTGAAATATTCAATGAAAAGTGAAACAGAAAAATGGGTTGAAACATAGCCTCCTTGTTGGAGGTAAAAAAAGACTGAGTCATGCTTCCTTACCCTAAGAGCCCTATACCAAAGCCATGGTTTTTCACACTAGGAGCCCTCTACTAAAGTCATGGTTCCTCACCCTAGGAGCCCCCTACCAAAGTCATGGTTCCTTACCCTAGGAGTCCCCTACCAAACTCATGGTTCCTTACCCTAGGAGTCCCCTACCAAACTCATGGTTCCTCACCCTAGGAGCCCCCTACCAAACTCATGGTCCCTCACCCTAGGAGTCCCCTACCAAACTCATGGTTCCTCACCCTAGGAGTCCCCTACCAAACTCATGGTTCCTCACCCTAGGAGCACCTACCAAAGTCATGGTTCCTTACCCTAACAGCCCCCTTCCACTCCACGTCTGCGGCTTGAGAGAAAGTTGTACACCTTGTCCTTCTCGCAGCATCACAATTGTCAACAATTTCTGGAAACGGAAATTTTATACTAAGTAAGCACGTCAGATGCACTTTCCTCAAGTTTTCTGAAAACTTTCCAAAACATCTTGGATGGCCTAAAAATCCTGGAACTCTTTGACAATCTGGTCCTTGAAAATGAAACAAAATAATAATTCGATTCCATACATTTTTGTAATTTGGCTGAATCCAACTTATAGTGTTATTATATCAGGGTGTGCTATTAGGCTGATATTGTTGTTTTGAGGAGAGTGCGTTTCATTTTGCCTTCACCTAAACTTCTCAGTTATGTTTGCTAAGAATCTTCCTGAATTTGCCAAAATTTGCCAACTTGCTGGAACACCAAATTGCCATACTCTGGAACTTTACAGATATACAGCAAATCTTGGATGGCATAACGAGAGCCCAGCTCACCCCTTCGTTCTGTTGAACCACTGCAGCGACATCTTGCATTGATTTGAAGTTGGAGGTGTTGACGTGGCCAAACTCAATGATTTCATCTCCGACTAGTAACCCCTGTCCAAGGAGACAAAGAAAACCTACCCATTTTTTCATGATGCTCAAGGCAATGCACTTTATACTCTGAATCAAAGGTGAGACTTGTTGGGAACACGGTGTGAATTGGTCAGTATTGTTGAATTATGAAACTCTACATCCGATTTAACTGGCTAAGACATTCATCGATGGGAAGTGGCTAAGACTACTGACAGTGACTTCCCTGTGAGGACACAGGTTATTGAAAGTCACAGCCATGACTTTCAGACAACTTGACCTTGTGACCTTGGGTCCATGAACATGTATACTGAACTGGTTCTCTATCAACCCTACTTTGGCTGTGCCCCAAAGTTGTGGCTACGGCTTCAAATTACATGGGCACTTATGGAAGGCACTTGGCTAATGGTTGTAGCCATTTGCCATAGATGTGTGCATTACTCCTAGCCACAATGCAGCAGGACTATTCAATCCACCTTGAGCAGGAGCACCCCCTCATCGGTTGAAAGACAGCCATGTTGGTGGGGAGTGTTCATTTTGTTGGTATCATGTAGTAGGCATGCATTTCATAGACGTTCGTGAACCAGCGAAGTGCAGTTCCTATCAAAGGTGCCTCCATTTCTATGAATATTGTGCCTTCTCACTGCCAAAGCACTAGTAGCTACACTTAAAGAAGGCTGTGTAAGAGTTATTTGGCTGTGGCTTGGAATTACACAACTCTATGGGGACTGGCTGCACCACTTCCCATACAGTTGTGCGCATTTTCAAGCCACAGCCAAGTAATTCAGACATGGCTTTATCTCAGAGATCATTGGTTATAATCTCTATCAACTTCCTTGTTCAACGTAGTAATAATTAAATCTAAACCCAGCAACTTCTCCTTTGCAGTTCATTTTATGGTTTACCTACGCAAGGATCAGCAAGATCGGAAAGACAAATTCCAGGCCTGCAATTATTATTGGGTAGCTTGATTAATCAATTACTGCATAGATTATATGGTTGCATTTTTCAGGTTCATTAATCAAAAACCTTAAAACATGGCCTCCTCTCCAATGCTAAAAGAGAACAACCAAAACTTCTTGAACAAAAAAACCCAGAAATCTCAAACGCTCTTCAGCGATAACACTGGAATGAACAAAACGGAAGGATGTACAGTGTGGTTAAAAGGTGAAATGTACAGGCGCATCTTGTACAAACATGACATGAATTACACAGGTGCTTTAACTAAAAGAATTCAAGACAGAAGGTGTGTGAATCGCTGCTGATCAAGTCTGTACATGGAGCAGGCATGATTGATTGATCAAAACAATGGTTGAAAACTTTAGGCCCTTGGGCATTCTCACAGCATTTGCAGCTGGTGAGCCCTCCGTGACCAGGTCAATCCTAGCGAACGGCACCAGTGCCGCGGCGGCGCTGCCCGCTCCGTTGGTGGGCAGGCTCCCTCCCTGCTCCCGCTGCTGTCTCTCAAAGGCGTGGAGGTCGTGGAGGCTGCTCTCAATCTGGACCATGAGGGCCTTATGGTCATTCTGTAGGCCTGGGGGTGGGGGGAGGAACGGATGATGTAATATTCCCCATCAGTTGTGATCCTCAGATTTCCTGGGCAACATTCAAACCTTCAGACCCTAGGTATGGGCATACACTAATTCAGTGACCTGGATCAGCAGCCATTACTTCAGTTGAACCACACTCGTAAGCAGGTGGTGCATACATACATGTATGGGAGTATTGCAGTGGGTGTTGTAACTAGTCAAAATATGCACCTATTACCAACCTGTTAGGATTTAGGGCCATGTGCATGAGGGTCATTCTATAGACTTGGGGTCCCATGTGTGACATTTTTTTCTGTCCTTATTACACCTGACCTGTGTCATTTGACAAGGAATATCATTGAAATTGACTTCAAAGTAGTTTAATTCATTTGGCAGGTAATCTGCACTTACAGATAATCCTGTGTCTGGCTGTTCTGACGCTGTAGACATCAATGTCGCTGCGGGGATACCCCTCGGGATCAATCAAGGGTCCATGCATACCAACGTTGCCTTGCTGCAGCCAAAAGAATATTCATATTTGACCAACCTTTCTGGAATGACGCAAAGAGGGTTTAACAGAGCACTGCAAATGAATTGGTACCGGTGCAATGCCAACATTATTTCCAGAGTTCAAACCCTACCGTGATGCCAATTTCCCGTTGCATCACTATGAAGATTTTAGTGCCCCCGCGTGAGTATGTTAACAAAGCTAGAGCCAGAGGGGAACAAATTGTCCAGGCCCCTACAACAATAGCAATCGGGAGCATCCATCCATTACGCAACGTTGTTGTCATGAATTTGTTCCCCTCTGTTAAATCTTCTGGGCATGCGCATCTGAAACATGCCAAAGGCTTATAGGGGTGGGGGACATCCGGGACTCTGGCAAAACAGCAACCATGGCGACGTACATGTACACGTGTGCACCAGCCAGTTCGAGGATCCGTTTACATAATCTTTTCTTTGATCAGTAGACAGTACATACACACATGTTCGTTGCAGTTTTTTCATCGGTACGGTGTGGTTGCTACCCACCATTTTGCAAAACTCCCGGATGTCCATGCGGCCCCATTGGCATGATTGGGCCAATGTCCTCAGGTCAATTGGCAGGGCTAGGGCCAGGACATGCAGGACTTGGTCTTACTTTTACTAGTTTAGGGTATCTAATAATCTTCTCCAGAGGAAAAGCCGCAGCGAAATGATTTTCCCTGTCTTACTTACTGATTCCAAAACTTCAAATAACTCCTTAATTTCCTTTTCTATAGAGTCCTTTTCATCCATCAATTCTTGAACTTTCTGCCTCCTGGACGCCGCCATCTTGTTAAGTTGTTATTAAGAGCTGCGAGGAGGCGCACTCCAAAAAAAGTGACGATCATTATTCTCTGATCATTGTCTCAACAGAGGGCGCTCTGTTAAAACACCAGCAAAGTCCCGTCCGTCCTCTAGCCTCGACATTAATTGTCATTTTGTGTAAGTTTTTCCTGTGTTACGACACTTTGTTTTACGGATTCAAAATATGTCTTTAGATGCAGAAGTGTGCTCTTTGGTTCTTAAGGTTGTGAGTTGTGAGGATTAGGGGTTCCCTGACTCGTTTGATGATGTGAAAAATGAAAACAAACTTTGTCCTGTTGGCGGACATATCAGAGTAACACAAGGCCTAACACTAACAGCTGAACATTGTTTACGTAGTGTTGCATGTATGCATGCGCCGTAAGCCTATGCATGTACGATATGTAAGCCTCGAGGCCAGTGCTCTGTTGGAGCCTAGTCAGTTTCCAGAACTAGCAATTAGTAGCATGACTAACTTTGGGCAAAGTCTGATAGTTGATAATTTATAGCTGGGAGTCTGTGAGTCATTTTGAACATGTTCGTTTCTGGTACAAAGGAAATGCAAGGTATGACATGATCTTTGAAGTTTGAGCAAATTTGCCTTTGTTGAGCTTAAAGATAAAGTCGTAATTTCTTTTCAAGTTTCAGTGTTAGTTATGTTAACATGGTTGGGTCGAAAATTATCAGAAGTGATGTTATTGTTAAAAGATTTTTTTTTATCAGCTGTAACTTGTAATCATTGTTGCGAGTGACATGAACTTGATCAGGTGCCAAGAATTTAGTTGTATCGAGAAGTCATTCCCATACAAGTCACTGCGGTTATTGTGGGTCGATTGCCTTATTTTTACACCCGGCCACCGCACGTGTTGACCAGAGACCCACAGTTACATGCCCAAGTGATGCATGATTCATGAATTTAATTTTCTGATTATGTTTGTAGACAGAAAGCCATCGAACCTGTGAAAATGAGTTTTGGCTGAAAGTGTAGGCCCAGAAGAAATTTTATAACTTAAAGTATACATGTGCATGTAGCTGCAATGAATTTTTCTCAGACACAATTTTTCTTCAACTTTGTATTGTTCTTCAGCACATGAAATCTCTTATTTCGTCACTCTTCATTCTTATTGGTTAAATGCATTGCAGAGTGCATGTTTTTAACACGGACGTGTATAATAAAATCTGGACTCGCAATGCCCTTAATCAGCTTATAGAGTCATTGAATCCACTCGCGGCCATTTTACTGAGCCGAATACAAAGCTTTCCTGGCAATGCCCGCCTTTGTTCTTCCTGACGTCAATAGAAGGAAGCCAACCCACGCATTTGTATTCGGCTCGGTAAAATGGCCGCTGGTTTGCTTCTTTTTCATACAAAGGCGTTGCAAGTCCAGGTTTTTCATATACGTCCGTGGTTTTTAAATGATTCAAATTACTCATGCTTTCTGAGACACTTGAGGGCGCTGTTGCTGTGAAGTCATCAAGGGAAGACATGGTTCAGTGCATACATGTAGGTGTTTCTGTTCAAATCAGGAACCCTGAGTGTACTTAGTGAAAACATTTCTGAAAGAGGGATTGATGCTTTCTTCTTGTTGTGTACATAAACAACAAGGAATCAGAAAAGAAAACTGTGTCCAGGGAAATCTACAAAAATACAGGACTTTTTGTGTAAAAACTAATGTAACATTGAGGTTTTCTTCCTGGATGGCATCACAGTGTTGCTCATGAATATGGAAATCATCATTAGCATAAAACCTAAAAGGCAGGAAAATACCCTTTGAAATAGTGAAACAAAAGATTGTCTTAGATACAAAGGTGCATTTTGAAGGTTTGTATCAAAACAAATTGATTGCAGCTACCCTTGAAGCACAGGGGGGTTCCTAAGTAAGGAACCATCCATCTTTTCCCTCTAGTTTTCACTTATGAACTGAAAGTACTTTTTCCTTAGACCCCTTTGCTCCTAGGGAGCAGATCTTGTAAGGAAATAACAAAACATTTTCTGTCCTACCGGTATCTGCAATGCACTATCATTTTGAGTTTTGAAAAAGTGTACGTGGTCCCTAATACTCCTCCCCATGAAAGAGCCCGGAGCCAGATCAGTCGATTTAGAATTGTTGGCTTTCTCTGTTCGGCTGGTGTTCCCATTTCAAAATGTGAGTGTACAGTACGTGTATGTGATATGTGAGTGCTGTTGTCCCAACTTTGTCCAGTGCCTACTTTGGGCAAGCCCAACTTTGGTTGAGGAGAAAAACCACTTGATGAGAAAAATAACATAAGCATGATAATTTTTAGCAAAAGATAAATGGAACAAGAATAGGCCTAAATGAAAAAAAAGAGACACTGCAGGAAGAAATGAGTAGAGGAGGGAGAGAGGTCAAAGGTCAATGGAATGCAGTGACGTCAAGAAAACACAAAGCGGTGATGTGGTCATTTCAGCCGTGACGCATCAACATGCACCTGATAAGACCCTTTCAAACTCGTGACAGCCTACCTGTTGTTTGCACTAGTTATGATCGGTTCAGTGTGATAACTATAAATGCGCATATACCCAATTGTGTTGGCAAAGACATGTACAACTCGTGTGTCAGTATTTGAATGGTACGTGAACATGTGCATGATGCCAAAGTGCGAATGGTCTGTATATTGCTGTACGTGCTTTGTACCTCGCAAAGAAGATTGTTGACATCCTGAAAGTTGTAGTGACTTCGCTTGTTTTAATTGCCATGAAAATCTAGATTTGGCTGAATGTGTCACTTCAACAGGTGCAGATGAAGGTAATACGCTGACACAGAGGCACAATGGCAGATGAAGACATGGACATAGCCACTGACTGTGACAAAGAAGTGTCTAATCACATGGACACCGATGACAAGGGCCGCAATCACGGCAACGACAGAACTACTGAACACGAGCTGGCGGAGAATGCAGTCAGACACATTGGACCCGGTGACAAACTAGGGAGCAAAGACAGTGGGGAAATGGGAGAGAACTGTACTGAGAACAGTACAATTCTTCCAGAGGTGAGTGACAGACACACAGAGGGAGGGGGCACGACAGACGGAGCGTCCCTTGATAAGAACTCGACTAAATTGGACAAAATGGCTACTGGAGAATCTGGCAAAAAGCCAGAGGGAAAGGCAACAGAGGATGCAACAGCTGTAGATGGGCAACAGTCTAACACAGACGCTGCCACAGCTGGAGAAAACCCTGGTAAATCAACAGAGGGTGGAGAGACAGAAGGAGGAATGGCCACCGATGATGCTAAAAATGCATCGAAGAAGAACTTGTGCAAGTCCCTCAAACTGTTGGACAGTCTCAGAGCGGAGTCGTTCTTGAAGGATCGGAAGTCGCGACCTTCCAGACGGTCGTACCGTCTGCGGAACAAGGAATCGGGGGAAGGCGACCGGTCCGACAGCAGCGACGAGGACGAGAGACGAGGCACGGACTCCAGCACGCGCAGCCAGCGATCGCGCAGCGACAGCAGCGAGACGGAGTCGGACATGGAGCGAGAGGGCAACGAGGAGAGGGGAAGCGATGCCGCCGATGCTGAGAACAAGACCAGTGGCGCTGAGCTCTGCAGCGACCTGGAGGACGAGCTCCTGGCCAAGCAGCTGCCCAACCCCAGCTGGCGCGCCATACCCATGCTGCGCGCCCGCCAGATTGGCGCGCCCAAGGAACAACTCAGCTTCTGCTACAAGGCCATCGGCAGCGCGCACATGGTGTCACGCTTTGAGAAGTACTGCGAACTGAAGCACCACGAGGGATGCGTGAACACGCTCCACTTCAACCAATCGGGAAAGCTCCTTGCGTCGGGGAGTGATGACCTCAGCATTGTGCTCTGGGATTGGGCAAGACAGAAGACCGTGCTTGTTTACCCAAGTGGGCACAGAAGCAACGTTTTTCAGGTAAGCCTGTCAAAGTAAAGGCCTATACTATGAGACTTGTCATTTATTGTGCAGCAATTTGTCCCGCTATCTTACATTCAGTCCCATGCATGAGCCAGTTTTTGAGCCTTTTATAGATGGCACCTTGTGACTTTCGCCCTCCATCTTGATGCGCTATCCAGTCAGTATTTGAGGCCTGTTTGTTTCAAGCAGATCAGGATCTTGATCAGTGATCGCAGCGCTGGTTCGCATCATCCATAAAGTACATGTGCCATACATGTACGTTCTGGTGTCAGTGAACCAACGTGGGATCACTGATCGTGATTCGAATCCATGTGAAACCAACAGGCCCATGGATCAGTGCTCTTGACATTTACATGTAGCTCCCTAGAATTAATGAAAGCCACTTGGAACTGTAATGTCACTTCTTCAAGATGTGGTAAATGTATTTAATGCCCATCGAAATCTGTGGGCATGCAACCTTTCATAATCTGCCAATTTCCTTTTGATGTTTTACCTGTTTTATAGACTTTTTTTCATCTGGCCTTAATTAAAGTCAGGTTTTGCTGCAAAATGTACATGTATACCTGTATGCCCCACTACTTTTGAACCATTTCAAAGTTTAAAAATGTCCTCCTTGTACCTAACGTACATGGAGGACATTTTAAAACTCATCATGAACAATGTAATGATTCATCATGATGACTGGTCTAGGAAGTGTGTGGTGATGTCTGCACTCGTCCCCACGCTTGAGTGATTTCGAATGAGTTTGTAAACAGAGTTTTTGCCCAAGCATCGTCTGAATTCCAAAAAAAGTGACAGTGGGGCAGGAAATGTTGCACACATGGTAAACTAATGACCATCAAGGGTCAGTGTTTGTAAAGTCCAACATTGTGAAAGACTGTGGTTTTGGTACCTTATCCTGCCTTCTAAAAAGTTTGTATTTTCAACTGTTTAACCACTTCTTGCTGGGGCAGTTATCAGTGTTGATGATGCTGGGCCGGGATATTTATCATTTTTTTCTGTTTCAAAACTCTTTAAAAATTCCTATCTTCATTTACTGGACACTTACAAACATGTGAAGGACTGTCTGGTGTCCACTGTAGCCTGACAGACAAAATCTATTGACGCCTGAGTATTTCAGCCAGGCCTGCAGCCTTGTAAAAAGAGCCCAGATTTTGTGGTGTTATATAACTTTCTTTTGTTCATGAACCTGGCACAGTGCGCTGCTGAAGTCTTTTCAATAGGGGCCAGATTAGTGTGCAGCGGTGCTATGTGGCTCATCGCTGCAGTGGTGGAGCGCTCTTGTCCCTGGTGGTAATCCGCTTGCACTAAGTGCCCAAAACCGTGGTATACTGTTTCAAAACAAGGCTAGATTGTCTCCACTTTTGAGAGTGAAAAAATGTCGGTAATTCTCAGCAGCTCGGTCTTTTGTTCGGAGTACGGTCTTTTGTTACAAGGCCTTGTTCCCTTTGTCCGAGTTCGGAGACCCCGGCCATGCATATAAAGCATATGTGTCCGGTACCGGAATTCCCGGCAGGGAGTGGTTAAAATAGCTATGTACCTTGTTCAAGTGTGTTGTGGAATGATCACAAAGTGGTTGAAGGGGATCTTGTTTTCATTCATCTTGGGTACATCCAAGCAATTCTTGTCAACACTTACATGTAGACTCGATGGACTATTCCTTAGTTGTAGACTGACGGCCAGTCATAGCCATGTCCAAAATGGACTCCCAGAGCTACGGCTACATGTCGGTCTGTTGTCTGCACATCTCTGTGTGTTTCCAATGGAGCGAAGACCTAGACACAGCTCTAGACATCAGATTGGGATGCAGCCACAGTCTACCGGTGGCTGATAAACTAAACATACAGTTGTGCTCAAGTGATGTGGAAAGTGGAACGTCTTCTAACAAAGCCTCATGCTGTTCAGGAATTTTCTCATCGAGGGGGGGTTTCCAGTCACAAAGCCGAACCTGAGAATGCAAAATGTGACAGGAATTTGTCTGGATATCAATCTTTTGGGGCAGGCTAAGTTCATGCCCTTCAGTGGGGACACGACTCTGGTCAGCTGTGCCCGGGATGGTCAAGTCCGTGTGGGGGAGCTGTCCAGCACCGGCATCTGCAAAGGAACCAAGAAACTGGTCCAACACAAGGGAGCCGCCCATAAGGTAGGGAAACACAGTTGACAGGGAAAGGTTTAAACACGAATAGACTCTTGGACTGAAACTGTGCCCAAATTTACAAATACATGCGCCAATTTTAGACTTTGCAAGCTTATTCCTGGTTACCATTCTATTTTTTTTTTCTGTATCTAATCAGTTGTGAGCTGTATCTACTTTCATGACTTTCTGTAGACTTGATCTGTTCCTAGTAGCCAGGAATACAATGTATGTAGGTTACATGTATATCTAAAAATTGCAAGTGCAGTACACTGAATAAATACCGCGTACTTTCAGTACAAGCCAGTGTTGTTGCATCTATCACAAGTTCTATTCCAGGTCCTTTCACGAGACCAGTGGTAAGTAACAGTGTGAGCAATAGGAGGAATGCTAGTTACTTTTCATTTGAATAATTTGTGACTTGACTCGAGTGATTAACTTTTGATGCACATGTACATGTAGGAACTGGTTATGGACTCATCTACGACTCTTCATAACCAAGCACCGATACATTCCGTACTTTGAACCACAACCCTACATTGTACATGTACATGAGTATGAGACTCGTTGCTTAAGACGTTACATGTACAAGAACAGGTGCTTCTCTAATACGTCACTTTAAAAGCGATGACAACATCATCTTGAGTAATTAATGAGATGGTTAACATAAATTAACTTGTTAGGATTATACATGTATAGGACTACAAGTAGGGGAGCATCTCCAAAAGTCTGAACACAGAGGAACGTTTAATGAGAGGATGGTTAGTTCCAATTTTGACTACCTTTCTGCCCATGTTTTGGTTGCCTGACAGCTTGGTCTGGAGCCGGACTCTCCCGTTGTGTTTCTCTCATGTGGCGAGGATGCAGCCGTGTACAACATTGACCTGCGGGGCTCCAAAGCTACCAAGTAAGGCTGGGTTGTCATCAAGAAGGGCATAGTAGGGGGCGGGGCACCAGAAGGGGATATGTAGTTACTAGACATGTACGTGAGTGAATTCTCAAAGTTTATTCATTGAGGGTACATGTAAGACAATGACAAACGAATGCTGTTGGCAATATGGCTTTGTCACATTCCACTTTTGTACACATACCGTTGAAAACACAAGAAAGTGGACACAGTGCGATTGAACTTTGCGCTTTGCAAATCTCGTTGTAAACAACATAGACAATTTTGCACGGACCTTGTTGTCTACTTGGAAATTGCCATTAAATCCCATTTAGTTCAGTGAAATCGCGATTTGTATAGCTAAAGAAATAAAAAGTGCGATTTATATTTAAGCACAATAGAACTGCGATGATATCACTATTTCCATGTGAGGGAAATAATGTTTTGTAGAGAACGCTGTGCGTTGCAGGATGCATCATGACAGTATGCCCGTGGCTGCCTTCCACGGTCAGTAGCTTGCAACTTCAGACCAGATGATTTCCGGTTAACTTGTAATACCGGTAGGCTTCACAACGGTGCATTTTATTATTGATAAAAAATGCATTTGTAGCCATTCAGCTAAATTGCAGCAAAATCCAAATAAAAACAATTATAGTAAAACGACAAGTTAGGACGTTAAACAGGCAGAAAAAAAAAACTCAAATGAGAAGTGTATACATACATCACACCAAACAGATCTGATGAAAACTAAAAAATTCCATTCAAACATGTGGCAGACGTGCACTTAATCAGAGAATTTGTGAGTGAATTTATTCCATGTGGCTGTTTTAAAACGGTACTTATTTAGAAAGTGGCCAGAAAACAGAGGGAATCCATATTACACAGCATGCTCTGGTTAGCAGCACTTTGTCGGTAGCAATTACGTAAGTCCAATATGACTGACAAGATTGTTTTGTGCTCAACACTACTGTGCGCTGCATTTGCACACTATGAATTTCATATACAATATGCGGTACATACATGTACATGTTCCGCCCCTGTTCTACTTCCTGTCATCTTTACTAAAGCCGTGTTGGAAACAGGCTTCCAGAGCAACAGCTAGGTCTATTGCCTGGGCTTCTCCATGTCTGTCTAATGGATTGAGGACCTAGCTCTTGACAAGAAATTTGGATGCAGCTTGAGTTTCACTTATGTGCCACTTTGAGACAACTGTTACAGAAAAAGTCACTGAAGTCGGGTTGCTAGCTAACTAAACCGATAGTTTGGTATACTACTGTACATAAGGTAGTCTTGGATCAAGACTGGATTTGTACTCAAATTTCCCTAATGCCCTTACATACATGTATGTACATGTATATCCATATGTATGCATGTAACTCGGCTGTATCATTGATTTAAGGTGCTATCAAGAATCTGAACCAAATCCAGTCGTGGCAGTCTCAGTGTGCTGAGACCGTAAACATGTCCGTTTCATTTTTCAGACTGGTAACCGTGAAGGAGGAGGTGCGGAAAGTCCCCCTTTACACCATCTTCCTCAACCCCATGAACACCGACGAGTTCTGTGTGGGCGGCCGGGACCACTTCGTGCGCATCTACGACCGCAGAAAGGTGACTGACGAGAGGGAGGGTCTGGTGAAGAAATTCTGCCCCCATCACCTGATGGGCAGCGAGACGCGTGCCAACGTCACTTGCTGTGTGTACTCCTACAACGGCAGAGGTAGGGCATTTCAACGTCTTATTAATTTTTGTCTGTTTATTTGTTTTCAAACAAATTACAGGAAAATGAATTAAGAAAACATCAAACAGATCTAAAGACAGGTCAGTGGATTGCCCCAAAGCAACATTAATCACGCGAAGGACTGTCCTCACAGTATAAACATAAACTAAAACCAAAAAACGGTCGAGAACATGTTAAAATAATTACAGGATATTCCGTCAAATTTATGAACCATAGAGTTAATCATGAAACTGACGTTTTCTTTTCCTGTCTGACAGTAATTTGATTTTTTTTCTTTCTTTGTGTAGCCTTTTCTGAATTTCAAACTTAAAAAAAACTCTGTTTACAAGGGTGCAGGCCTGGCTGAAATACTCGGGCGTCAATAGATTTTGTCTGTCAGGCTACAGTGGCCACCAGACAGTAATTCATGTGGGTGTAAATGTCCATTAATTGAAATGATGAATCTTTGAAGATTTTGGAAAACTGAAAATCTTGAAACTCGCCCATATGTGTGCACTGCATTTTTCGAACCACCCGGCAGCATGTGGTTAAGACTCATTTTGCTGGATTTCGTCTCAACTGTTCCAAGTTTATATACGTCCTGGGCGAACTTGATGGAAGTGTTGTATGTTTTGTTTTGCCTGGCATTTTGACTCCAGAAATCTTGGCCAGCTACAATGATGAGGATATTTACCTGTTTGACAGCACCCACAGCGACGGTGCAGAGTCGGTTCACTGCTACAAGGGTCATCGCAACAACCAGACAGGTAAGGGAGGGGTCGCTGTGCGTTAGTCTTGATTCAAGGTGCTACATGCGAGTCCAGTGAGGCAGTCACCAAGTCAGTCCAACAATCCCAAATCCTCATTCTCCACAAAAGTTTTTGGAGTACATTTATCTTATTTTATTAGGACAGTTTAAAGTATGTGGCCCGACCTAAAAACTGATTGTTACAAGACGCCAGAGCTGCTTCCAAGTTTCAGGTCATGGAAAGAATTTAGCATGATGGTAATCAATAGGAGTTAGCATCGTTTTTTACTTCATACCCGGAGGATGGATTTGCATCACGATGTCAAACTTAAGTCACAAATCACCTTAAGTCAGTCACAAGTCACCACAAGGCAGTCACAAATCACCTTAAGTCAGTCACAAGTAACCACAAGGCAGTCATAAGTAATCACTAGGCAGTCACAAGTTATCACTAGGCAGTCACAAGTTATCACAAGTCAGTCACAAGTCACAATCATCCTAAGTCAGTCACAAGTCACCACAAGGCAGTCACAATTCACCTTAAGTCAGTCACAAGTAATCACTAGGCAGTCAAAAGTCATCACAAGTCAGGCACAAGTCACAACAAGTCAGTCACAAGTCATACACAAGTCACACTTCACACAGAAGTCATGACAAGTCGTTCATTCCTAAGTCCTGTTGCAAACCTGGGAAGTGGTGAATCAGAATTCTCAACGACTATACAGCATTGTTGCACTCTGTTTTTATCTCTTTGTTGCATCAGTGAAAGGGGTCAACTTCTACGGGCCTCAGAGCCAGTTTGTGGTGAGCGGCAGCGACTGCGGCAACATCTTTCTGTGGGAGAAGAACACAGAGAAGATCGTCCAGTACATGAAGGGCGATGTACAGGGCGTGGTCAACTGTCTAGAATCGCACCCGTCCAGTGCGGTGCTGGCCACCAGCGGGCTAGACCATGACGTCAAGATTTGGATGCCCACTTCTGCCGAGCCCACACAGCTGGAAGGATTGAAGCAGGTGAGAAGTTGTTCCTCGTTGTGACTGCAGCAGAGTTGTAAGCAAATGACTAAAGGCCAAAAACAAAAANGAAGCACAGTTGTTGGGCAGCACAAAAGTGCAATCTGAGGGACTGTTGGTACAGTGCACAACACAACACAGCTGTGCTTCTTTGAGGTGTTTACCAAGTGACCCAAAGAGTGACTTCAGCATAGGAGGGTTAAGCTCTGAGACAGAGTTATGGAGTGACATTTGCCAGACCATCTGGTCATGGCAGATGGACGTTGGAGGGCTCTTCACACAGTTGACCTCCACAGACAAGTAGTCAGTATACAGACTTTGCTGAGGTGTTGTCACAGAAAAGTGTGACCCTATTAAAGTTGTCAGAGAAAGGTTTGAGTATAAGGTCTTGAAGAAGATCTTGCACTGTTATAACAGGATTTCATGTGCAGGTACATGTACCAGAAACATGGCCTTAAGACTCATTTTGCTGGATTCCGTCACAACTGTTCCAAGTTTATACACGTCCTGGGCGAACTTGATGGAAGTGTCGCATGTTTTGTTTTGTCTGGCATTTTGACTCCAGAAATCTTGGCCAGCTACAATGATGAGGATATTTACCTGTTTGACAGCACCCACAGCGACGGTGCAGAGTCGGTTCACTGCTACAAGGGTCATCGCAACAACCAGACAGGTAAGGGGGAGGGGTCGCTGTGCATTAGTCTTGATTCAAGGTGCTACATGCGAGTCCAGTGAGGCAGTCACCAAGTCAGTCCAACAATCCCAAATCCACATTCTCCACAAAACTTGTTGGAGTACATTTATTTTATTTTATTAGGACACTTTAAAGTATGTTATTCGACCTAAAAAGTGAATGTTATAAGACACCAGAGCTTCTTCCAAGTTTCAGGCCATGGACAGAATTTAGCATGATGATAATCAATAGGAGTTACCATCATGTTTTACTTTATACCCGGAGGATTGATTTTCACCAGGATGTCAAACTCAAGTCACCAATCACCTTAAGTCTGTCACAAGTAACCACAAGGTAGTCATAAGTAATCACTAGGCAGTCACAAGTAATCACAAGTCAGTCACAAGTCACCACAAGGCAGTGACAAATCACCTTAAGTCAGTCAAAAGTAATCACTAGGCAGTCAAAAGTCATCACAAGTCAGGCACAAGTCACAATCACCCTAAGTCAATCACAAGTCACAGGTCAGTCACAAGTCACCACAGGTCAGTCACGAATCATACACAAGTCAGTCACACGTCACGCAAAAGTCATGACAAGTCGTTCATTCCTAAGTCCTGTTGCAAACCTGGGAAGTGGTGAATCAGAATTCTCAACGACTATACAGCATTGTTGCACTCTGTTTTATCTCTTTGTCGCATCAGTAAAAGGGGTCAACTTCTACGGGCCCCAGAGCCAGTTTGTGGTGAGCGGCAGCGACTGCGGCAACATCTTTCTGTGGGAGAAGAACACGGAGAAGATCGTCCAGTACATGAAGGGCGATGTACAGGGCGTGGTCAACTGTCTAGAATCGCACCCGTCCAGTGCGGTGCTGGCCACCAGCGGGCTAGACCATGACGTCAAGATTTGGATGCCCACTTCCGCCGAGCCCACACAGCTGGAAGGATTGAAGCAGGTGAGAAGTTGTTCCTCGTTGTGACTGCAGCAGAGTTGCAATCAAATGACTAAAGGCCAAAAAAAAAAANGTTGAGGGTCCTGTTTCGGCTACCTGCCCTATTTGGACCGCGTGACCATAAGGTTTTTTTAGACACGGTTTGTAAAATTTGAAATTGGAAATAAAGAAATTTAAGGAGATTATGCATTGCATGCAATTTGCACTTTTGATACTGTACCGCCCAACCTCTCTCGTGGTCATTTCCATGCAGGTAACACTTGGCTCCTGACTGAATCAGAGTTAGAAAAAGAGCGCCCTCTTCCCTAAAAATCCTTCCTGCCTAGCCTATTTCCAGATGTCATGAAATGGGAAACAGGACTTTTTTCTCACTTAGTCAGCCACATGTTGTGTTGCAGTCCAAGTACCACAAGTCAAGTACTAAACAAGAACCCAACAATTCTTTCACTAGTACTACAGTGGTTGTAAATAGCCTACATGTAAATACGTTCTTGTGACATAATTACAGAAATAAATATTTGTGACATAGTCAACTGTAACCACCGAAAGTCGCCAGATCTCAGGACTGATTCAAGTAGATGTCATTTCTGCACACTGCTTTGAGCTTGAAGTGCAATGTGCAGGTTTTAGAAGTAGCAAAATGCACTGTTGGTGAAAAATTCACTTCCCCCAAAGTTTGTTTGTTCTTGTTACATTTTCTGCTTAACTGCTACCCGGAACAAGTCACTCTGGTCATTTACTCCCAGCATAGCATAAGGTACAGGCAGGCAAACATGAGCTTAAGTACACCAGTACTCAAGTCCGAGGCTGAGTGCATGTGCACGGGGTAATCTGTCTAGTAGATTCACCAAGCACCAGAGTAAGTTCTACACCAAGGACTACATCGGGTGCCGAATGTCATGCCAAGTTGCCAAGTTTAATCTAAAAATAAACAAAATATTTCTTATCAATTGACAAATGAATACAAATTACACATTCATGTTATGCATAATGAAATAAACATTGATTTTCTAAATGAGCCGATACAGCAGACTAGTATTACATCTATAGCGGGCACACTTTGAACTGCCCCTTAAACATCATGTGGAATATGCCTACATGATCGTGCATGTGGAATTTACACGTCGCTGATCTGCTACAATTGAACTTGATGTCTCTACAAAGTTTCACAAAAACCCTTAAAACTTACAACTCTGCCGGCCTCTTGGAAAGTTCCACGACAGCTGTAGACAATGTACTGTACATCTACATCTTCTGCTACAAAGTTGACCAATAACCCAAACTGGGAATTTTTATCGGCAGTTTTCTCCTTGCAGTTTATCTGGTCAACCCAACCTCTGCAGAGGCAGTCCTTTACACAATACCGTACAGTGAGTGATCACAGTGCGCGAACATTTTAGAACACGTTTTTCACCTTTGACCTTTCGGATACGTTACAGTTCTGGTCACCAGATAATTTTAGTTGGATCAGTTGTATCAAAAGCATTCCTTTATCAGTGGTCAGCCTTTGTGAGTTGTCATCTGACAGTTATGATTTGAATTGTGATTGATTTCAATACGGGGCCGGTCAAAAGATTTCAACATATCAAACCCCTTTTTGTTAATTCTTGTTATAAAACTCACGAGATGACTGAAACCTAGCAGTAAGCCATTTCCTTTCATAGTTGATGGGAAAACTCTTAAAGTTCCGGAATTTTCCTTGAATATTGAGCCCTGTTGTTCTTGGAAATTCAAATGAGAAACCAGTGCTGGTTTTTATTTGCAGACTATGTACAGCAACCGCCGTGAGAGAGAAGAGGAGAGAAGCAGGGAACCAGACATGATTGATGGACACATGCTGATGTTCCTTATGCACCACCTGAGACGTAGAGCTCGTAGACAGGTGAGAGACAGATGGGGTGATGTACATGCATGCATGCAGTGTGACAGACAGGGTGGTAGACAGGTTCATAAATACATGGACCCTTATCCCTATCCATGCTGAATCCAACAAGGTTGTGCAGGATTTCAATTGTCCCTTGGGGGTAAAGGTTATTGACAGGGACATGTCCTATTCTGATGCACAATCTAAGTTAGACAGCTTGTAGACTGCTGAGAGACAGATGGGAGAGTTTTACATGTGGGTTGACAGACTGGGTCATAGATAGAGTCATAAAGAGCTTTATTATCATGTGCTGAATGATGATGTTCCTGATGTACCATCTGAGATGTAGTTGGGCAGAGTTACATGTAACTCTATCTGCTTAGCAAATAAAGAAAATTAGGTTTTGTCGGTGACCATGACAGTGGCAATGAATGACAATGACATTGATTATGACTTCCGACCTGCTAAATATCGAATCTAGTATCAGATATCCTCACCGCTGCCCTTCTCCTCTCCTTAGGCCAGAGAGGCAGGGGAAATGGACAGCGACTCATCCAGCTCTGACTCAGATAGTAGTGAGGATGACGAAGAGGGACTTCCTCACGAGCGCTCGCAGTGTGCTCCGTCGTAGACAGGTCACAGGGAGACAAGGTACTGTTACCAGCTGCAGTTGAATACTGAGTCACGAGTACCAATAGTTTACTCACTTTGTGAGTTTTAGTACCAGTAACTTTAACTAGCTGTAATTGAGTACCTTTTTTAGTGTACCAGGTCGCGAGTATTGGTGGTTTACTCATTCTGTGAGCTTGAGTACCAGTAAGTCTAACCAGCTGTAACTGAGTGCTTTTGGTGAGTACGAGCATCATGCTGTGAGTTTAATGCTCGTGATGAATTTGAGTACCAGTAAATTTACCGAAGTGCTCATATTGTGAATAGGACTATTTTTCAAGAGCACGAATGGAAGAAATTGTTTCTGTGATTGTGAGAGTATATTTGATTAAGTACCAGTACGAGTATTAAGAGGCTCTCAAATGGGATTGTAAGTACTTCAGTTCTGGGTACTAGCAGGTGTAAATTTGAGAGATGTAATAGGCTTACAGGCAGGCACAAGTCCACCAGTGAGATCACATGTATCAGAATGAACAATGACAGAGTGATTTCTTTGTCACAGTTCCTTTTAAGTAAGATGCGACTTGAGGTTCGGTGCAAGTACCTAATGGTTGATATTTGAGGGTTCGGTTTTTACAACTCGGCAAAATTTATAAAGCAACAGTTTGAATAGTGTTTCATGACTTTCAAGGCCTTCGTTGGATTTAACATTGTTTAAAAGAAATAGGGTGAAATTTTTGTCTTGGTCGAAGTCCCATCGTTGCGTTTACTAAGAACACTTGTCACTGCTGTCCGGCTGGCTTGATCTGAATGTTCCGGGGACAGTGATGAAAACCTTTAATGAGGAGAGCAAGGGCATAATTGGATAAATCTTTCAAGTTACAATGTACATGTATCTAGGATCAAGGAAGGGATTGCTTGAAAACTTAGGCTCCCAAGTCGAACATCTGTGTAAAGATGTCATTTGGGTTTCCAGACATCTGCTATGTTTCTGGGTCCGGCTTCATTTTGATAAATTTCATCTCCAAAGATAAGAGCGCACTGCTCCTTGGAGTTCCACTTTTAGTCGTGGAAAGCTGTCCAACAGTGTTTCATGTGTAAATAATTCAGAAATGATTTGAGAGCCTGGTACGAGTACATGTACATGTATGAAGCCGAACCCGAAGAGAAAGCCAATATGTTCATGGGCAACTGTGAATGTTTGGCTGTCAAGAAGGCACCTGGTTGCCATGCGGAGGACCACAAAAGAGAAAGAAGTGTTCCAAAGTTTAAAATGCTGCCTCACATTCAGCCATCATTTTTCAGTTTTACACTTCAGAGCAAAAGCCACTGAGACTCCATGTCTGAAATCTTGTTTTGTAACCAGCCTGTCGGCTATTTGAAGCTAAAATAAAAAGAAAAAAAAAATCTATATCTGCATGTAAAGCTTTGATGAGAACAGACAGCCTCAAAGGACAGCTTCTGCAGTTTACCCAATCTACGAATAAATTAATGAAGAATCGGGTGTGTGGGAGAGATGTACGTGTATGAGTAACATCATATTTTTGGATGAGTTGAAGAGGATGATCTAGTTTATTGTATCATAAATATTGATAATTAATATGACTAACCTTCTTTCCAGCTCACGAATTACAATGGATGCACAGAGCTGAATAACCCATTTGTCACATTTGAAATGAGCTTTTTTTGTGCTTTTTTTCGCCCCTCTTGTTGCCGTAAAAACAAAGGAACTGCAACTGTTCATCATGTTTTGATTTTGGCAAGAGAGTTTGAAGCATGCCAGGCAATTGAAGAAGTTGAACATGTTAGAATTTAATGCAAAAATCAATGTCCATAGTTGCAAAGATTTTTGTTATTGTGAGAAAATAAGTGTGTATTTTATTAATGTATTTACCAAGTATTATGATCAACAAATTAAATTTGTAGTTCATAGTTACGTTCACATAGGAAGACTTTTCCTTCAGTTTAAAAGTGTTTGAGCTTTTTGAGGTTATTTGGGCATAAGTTAATCTACAAGTGCATGATTTTTCGTTTCTAGCTCACAGGTATTCAAGAACAAAAAATCAAAATTTGCATACCATAACAGAAGGAGGAACATTTCGCTGACCATGTGCTCTGAGTTGTAATCACGAAATGGCAGTTTATGTTGTTGTGTGACGATGTAAACTCTGTATGAATCTGTGCACAATCTCAGAGAAGTGTCCACGTCGTTCTTGAGCCATGGGGAAAGAGTGTTTGGCATACTCTATGTGTACATACATGTATGTGGATTTATGCTTGACCATGGAAAAGCCATGGGCATACTGTACATGTAGATACCTGACTGTGTAAGAGCCATGGGCTTATACATGCTTGGCCATAGAGAAACCATGGGCATACATGTAGATACCCGACTTTGTAAGAGCCATGGGCTTACACATGCTTGGCCATAGAGAAGCCATGGGCGTACATGTATGGATACCTGACAGTGTAAGAGCCAT